ACACCACACTCCCTGCGATATGTTCATCTGGAAGCTGCAGTACGCTGGCTTGGGCAATGACTGGAGTCATTTGATCAACAAACAGTTACCAAGTAACAAATGCAAAGGGCAAGACCAGTGCAGAGCATCAAAAAGGATACATATTACAAACCGAAATGACTCTCACTAGAGGTGGAAAACCAAAAGATTAGTTAAAATGATTGTGTATAACGACAACATTCTGCAGTCATTTAGAATCAAGTTTGAGAAATATATTTAATGATAAGGGAAAATTCCAAGAATATGTAATTTTTAAAAACATGAAAGCAGGTTGGGAAATAAAACTGGCTCAAAACCAGAGTGAACACATTCGGCAACTCTCTTTTGCTCTTAAGACAGAATTTATGTAGAATGCTTCAGTTATTTTAAAATTTACATAGTATTGCTTGGAAATCAAATGACAGAATCACAGATGAAAATACAGAAGACTCCCTAAAATATATTAAGTGCTGAGAGTCGTGGTTGAGCAGCAGAGCATAGCTTAAGGACGCATGAGGCCCTGGGTTCAATCCCCAACACCACAAAAAAATAAAATAAAATGAAAGAGATGAGACTCTCCAGTTGTGAATAGGAGTCAAAGCCACATGACCCACGGAGGGATGGGTTGAATGTGAACCATGGAAATCAGATGTCACCCCCACCAGGGGACCAGAACACAGAGGCATGGCGCTGCCAGCTGTGCATGCAACGGGGCATCTGTACCCCCAACAAAGACTCACAACCCAAAGGAAGGCTTCTACGTGTATGAAAGAGACAACACAAAGTCACCAACAGGAGCCTGCAGTCTGAGCCTGCCCCTTGGGCTGCACAGAGCAGGAATAATGCTCTGAACTCAGCTGTCGACACAAGCTGTGCTTTAAAAGCACACACCCCACAAGTGCCAGCCGAAGAAACTCTCCAAGTGCCCTGAAGATAAATTCACAAACAAAAATTAGAGAAGATGTGAGGAGTCAAATTAACAGATGCTACAGCTGAAAGAATTTATAATTGAAGAAATAAACATGCTGGAGCAATTGGAGAATGGTGTAATAATAAGTATATATTGACTCCTTAAAGAGTCCGAATAAGGCTTTACATCCACCAAGTGAGAAGAATGGCTCATCACATCATTTATTACAAAAAAAAACAAAACAGGAAAGGGTACCAATTCTAAACCTTAGGAATAAACTATATCATTGTTGAAATTAAAAAGCTCAAGAGATTAACAAATCAATAGACTAGCCACAAATGAATCAAGGCAGTTAACAGGAATATGGAATTTGGAAAATAAAAACTGTCTCAAAGCCCAGAGAGACAAAGAATGGAAAAAAAAATTAAGTTAGGACTGATGGAGAATTAGTTGAGAAACTATTCTCATATGTCTCCAGAAGGAAAGAACAGAGATAGTGGCAGAGAAAATATTCAACAGATGTCGCTAAAATTTTTCCAGAATTGAAGAAAAACCTGAGTCTTCTGGCTACAGAAACCCACAGAGTACAAAGTACAATAAGCAAAACATATATATGATACAATCCTCAGCTTGTAACTCAATGCAGCCTAGAAAGAAATACACCAAAACGTCAGCTGTGGTTGCTCTTGGGGATAAGATTTGGAGCAAGATTTTCATTTTATTCTTAAAATCTTAATATACTTTTTAAGGTGTTCTAAAATGAGACTACATCATTTTTTAAGGTGTCTGCACTCATTACTTCAAATACACTTATACACTTGCACACATTTTTTTAAAATCTTGCCCTCAGTGGAATTTCACTCTAGTAGAGGAGATGGGGCATGTGTGGAGTTAACACATAAAGCAAAGCCAGAGAAGAGATTCTGGAGGGTAGACATAGCCTTGCCTCTTCCAGCATGGATAGGGTGGTGGGGTCCACAGGACCCTGAGCAGAAACATCAAGGCCTAGGACATTCACTGGATTTACTGGGGACTATAACTGAAGCCAGCATTTATTTTAGTTGGACCAAGCCAAAATGGTCAGACCAGATAAGATTAGAACTTTGACTACAGCAAGCATTATGTTAACCAGTTTTATTACAAGACCAGACCACACACTAAGACAAGTAAAAATTAATACCTCTGTCGGTAGCTAAATGACCACAAAAACCTGCCATCTACCACCATTCCAATCATGATAAGGCTTTGCTCTTTACTTCAAGGGTCTTATTGGCCATGGGACAGTACAGTGTGTATGTATTCACTTTCATTGATAATCAAACTAACCACTCTTCTTATCAATATGGGCATTATTGTCCTGCCAATTCAGACCTAACACAATACAGGGATGCTGTAGGACAGCTTACCAAGTCAAAGTCATCTTAGGGGTAGGCCAAGAGTACTTGTCAATTTGGGGAGATTGAGACCCCATGGTCATAACATTGCTGGTACACCCATACAAGGAAGTTTCAGGCAGCATCCCATGACTGCTTCTTTGGAGTGTTGAGCTCTAAACCAGACAGGTGGTAGAGATGCCTGCTAAATGGTTGTGTCACTAATGGAAGGAAAGGTTGATCCCATTTTGGACAGTTTCTTTCCTTTTAAACACATCTGGTTTCTCAAAATACCACCCTTTAAACCAGCTACTCTCAGTACCACCTGCCCATCCCACACATAGGTCCTAGTGTATGCCCCCAACACCATCTGCTTTGACTTCTGTAATGCCCCCACTGCCTTGCCCTCCACCAGAGCCACATAGTGGGGGCAATCACACCAACTCAGATGACACCAACAGCAATGGAGGGATTGAGTTCCTTTCACCATTTTTGAGTCAGTGAGCTCCTTCTTTCTCCCCCTCTCTAGTGCTTCAAATCTCCACTTAACCTTGTCTTCTCTGAACATGTTCTTTCCTGTCTTTCTCCTGCCATCTCCTGATTCCTTTCTTCTTTCTTACTCTTAAATGGGGTCACATTTTTGCCCACATCTCCATAAGGCATTTATATCCCACAGAAATGAAGGACAGTTTCACCTATACTCTGTCAGCTCTCAAAAATCCTCTTTTTAATGCCTCTTTCTTGGCGGGTGAGACCCTATTTCACGTACCACCAGCTCAGATTTGGAAGAAAGAGAGATGGAAGCCACTCAGGCCTTCTGGCCTCAACCCGGCTTCCCCAATTCACTTTGTTCTCTGCTAGGTTGTGCTGGCCCCTCATGGATCCAGAAATTTCACCTTTACTATGGTTGTTTTTTAGGTTGCTCCTTTAATCAAAATTTCAGAAGGGAAGAGGCACTAACGTCAGTATTTATATCCCAAAAGCACACCCTCAACCCTTTCTGGGAATCACTCTTTCTTCATGTTCACACCTTCATACAAAGCCTGGTTCCTCTCACTACACTGGGATTCCCTGTGTGCACTGTGCTTCTCCATATGAGGTGGATTTTTCATGTCTCTTAAGGATGGCATGACAAAGCTAAAGGACAGGTTTGATTTGGTGGAAGGTAAGTTCACAGCTTGGGACCAGAAATCCAGATATCTAGCTCAATCACCTACTTCACAACCTTAGCCAAGGGTCTTAACTTCATTGGAAAGTTACCTGATGCTCCAGCAAATGCGAAGGGCCAGTCCTGAAATGGCCTATTTGCTGGGGGCAGAGCTCAACTAACTCCCTCCTCTTCGTTACAGGGAGGAGATCCCTAAAATTGAGAGAAAATGCTCAACAACTCGTCAAGATTCTGCTAGGTGGATGACCATTTTAAATGAGTGTTTAATAAGATGCTGCATCAGTTGTGTTTCAGCTGAATGTTCTGCAGCCCTAGAGACCTAGAAGAATTAATACAGGTCCCAAAGGAGTCGGTGTTAAGTGCTGAGCAGAGCCAGAGTAGGGCTTGATAAATACAAAAGAAGTTTGAGAGTGTCAAAAGGAAAGTGATGTCACAGATGCCTGCATGCCTCCTTCGGATGTCCCCTTCTATCTAAGGAATGCCCCTAAAGAAGGGTTCCAGGTAGGGACTGGCACCACATGTGTACTCATGCTTTCCTCCTCTTGTAAACCCCTAAATCTTTCCTGGGCTTTTATAGAGTTACTGTGTACACACAGCTTCAATCCTTCCTCCCTTTTCCTCTTTCCTCACTTCATTTCTCCTTGGATCCTCCTTCCCACCTTCCACTTCAGCCCAATTCCCAACCAGGCCCTCAAGAAATCACCCTCAAGCCCTCCAATTTCTCCCCACTTTTCTCTAACCCAGGGCTCTGCAAACATTCACAAAAAGGCTTGTCCTGTCATCACACTTCAAGAGATTTGAGGACACTTTTCTTCATTTGCAAACTCAACTTAAACACCAAGATCCATCTTGAGGAGTCAACTCCTCCACCTGGTGGTCTTGGAGTCCCTGCCAATTCACACAAGGGCTGTGTAAGAAAAATGTCAGGCCCTCCATGCTCTGGGGTTGGAGGTATACACCTGCACTCCTACAGGAAGGCTTTAACCTGTGCTTCTCCAACCCAAGGCTCCTCAGACTCCCCATCCTCTGTTCCTCTTTCTGCAAAGTCCAGGAAACCTGAACATTTTTCTATCTTGTTGTGCTTTATCTAAAAGCTTCACATGTTGTCTCACAACAATACTCACCTTTAATATTTTTAAAAATTGTTCTACTCACTTACCACAAGAAGGAAATATATAAACTTTTCCCACAAAGCATCAGGTGAAATCGATATTTTAAGAATTTGAACCACATTAGCCCATGTGCTCCCAGGCTCCCCGCTGAGCTCCTTGGAAATCTCCAAACTGCTGTCACCACCACCACCCCTTGCCACATTCTTTCTGGTACACTGAAGTAGGTGAGTGTAGTACTCTGCTTTCAGGATGGAGGCAAGAGGCGTTTCCTTTCGCTTCTCATTGGAGAGGTGAGGCCTGCTTCTCACTAGAACTCCAGAGGAGTCCTCGCACCTCCAGATCAAGTCAAAAGCCAGGGAGCCCAGGAACCTGCAGTGACTTCTCTGGGATCCTAGCAGCCCCTCCCCTCCCAGCCTTACCTTATCAGCCATGATCATGGATGCGCCCCCGTGGATGCCCAAGATGGGGATGAAAGTCTGCGAGGAGATAAAATCCAGCATCTGGGCCACAGCCTCCTGGTCAGTGTCGTCCCCAAACACCAAGCCGTGGATGCGCGCCCCAGACATGAGGTCACACACGTGCGTGATGAGGCTCTTGGGGTCAGTGCGGTTCATGAGCAGCGCTACCACGTTCACATCCAGGGGCAGCCCCGCTGCCTGCTCCGGACCCCACAAGTTTCGAAGTTCACGCTCCGTCACGTCGTGACTGTGACCCAGCAGCACCGCAATGTTCAGCGCCGGGGGACCCTTTTCCGCCGCCGCGCACCGCGCCGGACCGCGCCAGACCAGTAGGGCCGGCAACACCAGCAAGGTCCAATAGCCCAGTCTTCCCATAGTCGCCACTTACGGTCCCTGCAAGGTGGAGAGCGAGAGGCAGGGCGGCGTGAACAAGAGGCGCACAGGAAAAGAATTACTGACCCTGAGCCTCGCCTTGAGGGCCAGGTCCCAAGCCCACCCCCAACACCCGCTGCGCTGGTCACTCTCTCCATTCCTCATCCCCGACGCCATCTGCATCCCACGATCCATCTCCAACTACATCTACAACTCTAATCCGACTAAATTCCCCACCTCTGTCCCCAAGCCCATTCTCGCATCCTGCCTCCGTCTGGTCCCCTATCCCCAGCCGCTTCTCCATTCCTGATTCTGCCCACCTCCCCCACCGCGTTCCCCAAGTTAGCTGCAAACCACAGCCCCGGAGCGCCAAGCGAGCCATGGACCCCACCCAGCTCTGGGCTGCGAGGAGTAAACCCTCTATCCTCCCCTTTTCCCCCTCAAAGCAGTACGGAACAAGTTACAGACCCCGCCCCCTGCTCACGCGGAGTGAACTACAGACCAGCCCCGGCGTGCGGAGGCGGCACCCGCACACCGCAGCCTGTTTGCTCACTGAGGTAAGTAACTGACCTCACCCCCTGCCAGCTGGCCCGTGCATCCCAGACCTCGCTCTACGCCTGGCAACTGTGCAGACCTCACGTTTCTCCTGCAGGGCACCCACACAAACACCCCGGAGCGCTTGGAAGTGAGCATGCTTGAATGGGGGTCCGGGCTCTGGGGTGTCTAGGTTAACTCGCGCCCCGCCCCACTTCTCTTGGAGGGGCCTTGAAAAGGTTTTCACTCACCTGCAAGTGACCCCAGGACCCGCCCCCTACACACTCTGGTGCACTCACGCGCGTGCACACACACCCTCTCTCGGGCGCGCCGTGTGCATTGCAGGATTCTGAAGGGTAGGCGCGTCCCCCTGCGGGCCAGAGCGTGGGAGCTGGCAAAGAACGTGCGTGGGGAGAAAGGTAGGCTCCAAAGAAGCTCTCAGACAAATACAGACTGTATAGCCCCTCCCTAACCCTTCCACTTCGAACCCTGTTGCTCAATCTTAGTTGCACGTGGGCAGTAAGCTGCACACGCTCTCAGACACGCGCGCTTTTCTGCGCACTTCCGCAGGGCGCCCTGGAGAAGCTCACAGTCATTCGGAGTCCTCACACGTCCTCAAGCGCTGCACACAACTGTACGGCGCCAAGCGTGCTGCCGCTCTTGCCTGCAAATATCAGCACGGTCGTGCACGCGTGTACAAGCGCGCGCCCCTCTAGCCCGGCGCTGTTGGAGCCGGAGGAAGTTGGGGCGAACTCGCGCGGGCCTTGGTATTCTTTGGGTGAGCGGAGCCGCAGCGCCCCCTGGTGCTTCTCCTGAACCTCACCACGGGTCTCCCTCTCCCGCTTTCTCGCTTCCTCTCTCTCCCCATCCCTCTCCCGCTCTCCCTCAGATCGAGTCTCTCTCTTCCCAAGCTCACCAAGCTACAATCTCCCGCTGGGACGTACCTGTAGCCGGAGAAGGTCGAGGATGCAGTGGGGCGCGCTGCGCGCACGAGCATCTCGGCCGCCTCAGCAGCCACCGGGTTTAGCGGGTTCCCGCATGGTGCGGCCCCCGCGCACTCCCCTGGCTGTCCCGCGCTGTCCGCATCGCCCCCACGGGGGGCGGCTATCCCAGCCGGAGGCTCTGCAGCAGGGCTCTAGTAAGGCGGGGGACAGATGGAATGGCAGGGTCAGCCCACCGGCGCGGGGAAAGGGGGTGGGGGAAGGCTGCAGTCTGCAGTGCTCACAGCCCCCCTATGCGCCTGAGGACTCGACCATAGGGGGGGAGCTGAGCTCCGTGCCCAGACGCCCTCGGTGCGGATCCTCAGTCCGTGTGGCGGATAACCCGAGCTCTGCTCAGGGGCGCATAGGAGAATGGGAGCCCCGCGCTGGCCACCCACGAGAAGCTAACTGGGCACCTCCACCCTCACCCCCTACCACCTCCCCGGCGCCGGCTGCTGGGAGTTTTGCGACCGGGAGCTGCTGAACGAGGGGGGTAGGGAGAGAAAGAGGAGAGAAGGAGGGGGCGCTGGCTGAGTTTGCGACGAGCTGGCAGGAGGAGAGGGGGAGGGAAGGACTCGGGCTCCTGCGGTCCCGGATCCCGAGGGAGGTGCGATCACTCCCACGTAGCGACCCTCTGTCGGTCCTGCCGCCCCCTCCTACCCAGGCCTCCCGCCTTCCCTTTCCCTAGGGGCCCTCCCGGGTTTCGCGCCCCGCGCCACCACTCACCGCAGCCTCCCTCCACATAGTTCTCAGCGGTGGCCGCTCCTGGTCATCTCCAGGGCTGATGGCTGCGGCCGTGACTGTCAGCGCTCACCCGGCCCCATGCTCCGGCCAAGCTCTCCGAGTCTCTTCCAGCAGCCTAGCTCAGCCTCCTGCCACACTCCGGATGGCAGCTGCCGGGTCCACTGAGCGCGCCCAGGAGCCCTCTCCGCAGCCCCGCTTCAGGCTGGCGTGTGTGAGGGCGAGTGTGCGTGTGTGCGAGTGTGAGTGTGGGAGCGCGCGCGCGCGTGTGGCCGGGGATCCCCGCGGTCCCCGGCCGAGAGAGGCGCGGGCGGGAGAAGGCAGCTCCCTCTGGGCCCTTAGCTGCGGGGCCAGCTCTGCGCTGAGCGTTCGGTTCCCCACTTGCCGGCGGGAGTCCAGCGAACGCCCGGCTGCCCTGGCTCACGGCACTGACAGAGGTTCCTGGGGCGTGCTTCTGACGCCGTCGCCCCCGAAGAAGAGGAAGAGGAAGGAAAGGCGCCCACCAAGCCAACTTAGGCACTTGTTCTTAGCCAGCAGGACGCAGCAGCCCCCACGCAAGCCAAAAACGCTTGGAGCTCCGGCGAGCGAAAGCGTCTTCCGCCCGCAGCTGCCCTCCCTGGAGGCGGGCTGAGGCAGACCCCGCAGTCCCCAGGCGGCGGCGCGGAGCGCAGTCACCGGTTCCCGGAGCGCAGAGAGACGAACGAGGCCGAGATAGGTGTCTGACTGGGGAGTAGGGCGCTGCGGTAGCGCGCCGCTGTCCGTGGTGCTGGAACCACGCTCTCCGCCCGCTCCCGGGCTTCTGGTGCGGCTGCAGAATCAATTATTCAGATCTCCGCGGCCGCTTCCTCCTCCCCAGTGCCTCGCGCTGGGTACGCCGATCTTCCCTCCAAGCACAGGCGCGCCGACACGCACACACCCGCACAGAGAGTCTGCTCGGCTGCTTCTCCTGTGCCTCACCACCCCCGTACGGGAACCCACTCTTCTGATCTCGGAGAGCCAGAAACCTAAAAGCAACGACATCTACATTACCCACTTGCTTCCTTCTTGTCTGCTAAGTTGTGCCAAACAAAAGTCACCCTGAGGTTACCATTTCTAAGCTATTTGAAGGGGTAAGCAAGAGAATCTGGAACTAGCTGGTTTCCTTGCCAAGGGAGAGACCAGCACATGCCTGTCTTCCCTTTCACCCTTCAAGCCCTGGAAAGAACATGTCTTAAATTTTAAGAAGCTTTGTAATCATTGTTCCAACCCTGGCTGCTCCACTTGTCAGCCTGATATCATTGTTGTGATCAGAAGGTTTGGAGCCCTTGTTCCTAGGTTAAAAGCTTAACCCCTGCCCAATGCCCATACAAGGCAATGTATTGAGTAGGAACCTTTATGGAGTGATTAGGTCTTGAGGCCTGAAGGGGACTCATACCCTTGCAAAAGAGCCATCAGAGCCCTATCTAGCCCCTTCCCTCTCTTCTCTGGCTCCAGCAAGAAGTTGCCATCCATGTACCAGCCCTCAGCCTCACCAAAATTAAATCTACCTCACCTTGATCTTGGGCTTTCAGCCTCCCAAACTGTGAGAAATAAACTTCTGTGATTTATCAAGTACCCGGTTTATAATATTTTGTTGTGTCAATCAACCAAACTAAGAAATAACCTCTGGGCAATTACCTGTCATCCCTTAATGATTACTAATCTGGAAAATGGAGAACAGGAAAATATCCATTTCCCTGGATAGTATCAGGGTTTTTGTAAAAACCAAAAATCTTGATGAAAGAGTCAATAGAGTGTGGCACGTAGTAGGCTCTCAAACATGAGGTGCTTTTAAGTGACCTAGCATATTCCTTGGAGGAATATGCATGTGGCTGCTGGTACCAAAAAAAAGGGCAGGGACACTGTTCTAGAGACTTATAGAGTCATTGTTGAGCTGCTTGTGGTATGCTGAGTTCCCTGGGGTTTTATTACCCAAAAGACAAAAAGGGTAGGAGGAATTCTGAAAGATAAATGAAAATGGAGGAGTATGTGATAAAAGTAGGGAATGCAGAAATATTCCAGTCTTGAGACTGTGGCTGGGCTGAGCTGGGGTAGGCCCCTCATTCCTTAGAGGCCCCCAAGCTTGGACGTGAGCACAGGAGTAGGACTCATGCCGAAGGAAGTTGGGCTGCTTATTTAAGTGAGGAATAAGTCAGTGTCAAGATATGGTGACCTGTTGGCCTGGCTTCTCAGGAGCACTTGATCTTAGGAGTCCAAGAGTAGTCTGAGCAGCATAGTGAGATCCCCTCACAATGAATAAATAACGTATGGACCATATACATTAACTTCACATCACTTAAGGATTCAGTTTATTGGACTGGTTGTGTGCCTCAGTGGCAGAGTACTTGCCTAGTGTACTCTAGTGAGACCCTAGGTTTGCTCCCCAGCACTGGGGGTGGGGAGTGTTTAAAAAGAAAAAGGTTTCATTTTGTTAAGTTTTGAAATTATGTGCATCTACATAGACCATCACAAGAAAAACATACAAAGCATTTTTGTCACCCCCACAAAATGTCCCTGTGCCCCTTAGATTGTCAATTTCCCTACTCCCACTCAGCAGAAACTATAATTTAGATTTCTAACACTATGTAACACTTTTGTGTTCTTTTGAACTTCATAAAAATTTGACACTGTATGTTCTTTGGTTACTAGAAAACTGGAAGCCTCACCCAAGCTACTTCATAAATTGACAACTTTTTATTTTAAATTGTTAAGTTGTTAGCTTTCCTACTGTGTGGATAAACTACATCCTGTGTATCTAGACTCTTATTAATGGACACATGAGTTGTATCTGTAGAACATTTAAAATCCAGAGGGCTGCACACATTTTATTCCATCAGACTCTCCAGGGGTAGGGCCAAGTACAGGAATTTATTTTTGATTTTTATTAGCATGCAATAACTGTACACAAGAATCAGGTAAGTTTAATATTTCAACATATGCATACAGCATGCACTGGTCAGGTCAGAATAATGAACATTTCCATCTCCTTATCATTTCTTTACATTTGGCACTCTCAAGCTTCTTCCTTCTAGATCTTCCTAAAGTATGTAATAGTTTCCTATGAATAATAGTCTGTGCTGAGGAACACCAGAACCTATTCCTTCTATTCATGTTTTGGTACCCATTATCCAATCTCTTTCTATTCCCTCTGCCCTCCACCCTTTCCAGTCCCAGGTAACCACTATTCTACATTCAGACCAATTTTTCCTTAACTTCCATGTATGAAAGAAAGTATGCTATACTTGGCTTCCTATATCTGGTGTATTTTACTTAATGTCATTTCCCCAGTTCCATTCATTTTGCATATACACCACATCCTCTTCTTTTCCCGTACATCCATCAGTGGGCTCCTCGGCTCACTCCGTGCCTCAGCTATTGTGAATAAGGCTGTAGGACATTGGTTTTAAACCCACTGATGGTTTTGATGATTCCACTGTACTTTCCATCTTTGCCTATCAATCGCTGACCTCAAAGCTGATTCTTCTTTGATGAAACTAGTGGTATGGGGAGCTTGGAATTACTCATGCCCAGATTTTTTTAAAGTTAGATTAAGTATATGTGGATTCTTTTAAATAAAGGAAGAAGACCCTGGAAGGAGAGTCTATGTCAAGACAGTCACAGCAGCGTGAGCTGGGTGCACGGAGCAGACACTGCCCCTAGTGTGGAGAGCCTTGGCGGCTCAGACTCTTGGAGTTTCGCCACACATTTAACTCTGAATATGAAATCATAACAACCTTCTCCATCATGTGCCACAAAACTAAACCCTCTCAACCTCTCCCAATGCCCCGCCAAACACACACACACACACACACACACACACACACACACACCTGGAGATACTGAGGAGGGATTTGCTACTGAGGAATTCCAGATGAAAGGCCTTCTTCATAGCAGCTATCCCCAAGACTATGCCCCAAAAAAGTAAAAGAAAACCGACACCAACACCATTTTACTGTCAATTTTTCCAGTAAGTTTTATCACCCATCACATCATTAAAGTAACTGAAATATCTAGTCTGGTCTTAAGCAATAACTTTTTCAATTATTTTCAGTCCCATTGATTTATCCTCTAACACTCCACTTTAAAAACGACTCCATTATTGCCACTTGCTTTGAGCTAGTTAAACACAGTTGTTAAAGACCAGCCTCCATATCATGTTTATAGGAGAGAACAAAAATGAGCCAACCACTGATTATATTTCTTTTTATATAGCTACTACTCTCAAGGGAAACTGATAAAGAATTACCACACTTCAAATCTGAACCACCTTTAGATTCTATCCTGCATGGTGTGATTGCTATTTTGAAGAAACACCTTATTTGAGGTGAATTTTTTGCAAGGCATAGTAGTGTATGACTGTAATCCTATCACCTGTGAGGCTGAGGGAGGTGGATCACCCCAAGATTGAGGCCAGCCTTGGCTACATAGTGGGTTCAAAGCCAGGTGGGACTACATAGCAAGACCCTGTCTCCAGAAGGCCACTAAAAGAAAAGTAAATTTTTAATTAAATAATCTGAGTTCTGCCATTACAAATTATACTTTCATCCAGCAATATTCCAAGATAAACTCATCGCTGAAATCTATTGAACTCCAGATGATAGCTGCTACCATCTCTCAGAACTTTTTCTTCTCCAGCTGCTTGATGAGAAATTCTGGTCCAATGTCTTTGCTTACATATAGAGAAACTGAGGCTTATATGAAATTGATCAGTCTTCCTGCTGTAAGACAAAAATACTAAGGGCAGACTTTGTAGGGAGACCCAAAACTCTTGCAGCAAGTGTCTCTGTGTAAAGTGTGTCCGCATGCTACAAGGCTACAGAGGTTCCAGAGCAGTATGACTAGATCCTTAGAGGCAAGGTTAAAGCCAAAGAAAGGTTAGGATTGCTGAGTGACTTAAACACCACACTAGGCACTGGTTTTGTCACTGGTGGCCAACCTTCACCATCTTCCAAGTTTTAGCCCATGGGTTCTAACTCCTGGACATTTCCCACCCTGCTGTGATGACAAATGAGCCAGAAGATGTATCTGTATCCTCGCCCCTTGTTGGTTGAGGGTCACCCCTGAGG